GGTGAACTAATGTGATGCTTCCAGCTGTATTCTTTCTACTGAGAATTGCATTGGCTGTCTGTGGTCTTAAGGATTTCCAAACAGATTTTAGCATTTGTTCTGAATCTATGAAGAATATCATTGGAGGTTTTATAGAGATTACATTGATATTGGAGATTGCTTTGGATCATATAGCCATCTACAAAAAATTCATCCCTCCAGTGACCATTTCAACAAAAGTCTAGGTTTATCTGAGCAGGGGTCTCTATCAGAGCAGATGGTAGTAGTTATAAGCTGCAGTCATGCAAACCATACTGCTGAGGTATTGGGCCCACAAACACGTCTTTGTACAAATCTCTACTTAGGCCTTTTCCTTCCACAGTCTCATTCTGTTGAGGGATGGAAACAGTACATGATTCTGATCAATGAAGCTACATGGAATAGAAGTCCTTGCTCAGTCAAAAGGCTATCATTACTTACAGGTCTGACCCTAGTTCAGGCTTGAAAGTCCTGGGAGGTTCGTAACAGCTGTTTCTCTATGCTTCTCTGGAATCATGAGAACGTATTCCTAGGTTAAATGCCACAGGTTGCTATCTGAAGACTCAACCTAGACAAACCAGTAGTCCACAGACATAGAAGATGGAAATTAAAATGATTACCTGAAATTTCAAAAGCTGGGCATATATGCAACTTGTAGAAGAATAAAAATAAAGTCAATCCATATAACACAGGAGATTTTTTAATACTCACTAAAAATGATGCTTTTATGCTAATACTTTTTAACTCTATTTAAAATAATTCTTTGCATAGTTCAAAACTGGCAGAAAAGTAAACATTTCACACATTACACGGTCCATTGCAATTTTAGTCACCACTGAAATAAGAGCAAACAGTGATTCCAGAGACTTAGACAATTTAGAAAGGAAAATAAAAATACACTTGAACCTCAATAAAAAGAATCTCGCAATCCATTTTTCAAAGCTACCCACAGTAGTTGAAAACATCATAGCACAGTTCTGTTTTAGGGCACATTGTTGGTATTGTTATTGGATCTCCCCAAGAGGTCACCGTGGCTTGTCGCCAAGAGCCATTCACAGGACACTGATTACTCCAGAATGCCAGAGGACCTCACTTAAGCAACCATGTATAAGCAAAGCAAGTAGCAAAGTAGACATCAGTAGCCATTACTTCTATAGCCAGAAAAGAATTCACTTCACATAACTAAGCCCTGCGGTTCTCTTTAAATAGTAAGTAGCCAGCGCGTCTGAGTGTTTATTTACTGTCCTCTCTGCCCCTCGTTCACAGGCAGGAAACGGAAGGAGCTGACTAAAGATTCACTAAAACTGAAGTTGAAGCAGTGCTGAGGCTATAATTATGAAGAAGTAATTACATTAAATTGACTCACTGTTTTGGAAATATGCCAAATGCTTAAAAATGAATAATACCGTGTACCTTCTCCATCAATACTTGTTAGCCAGGATGACAAAAAACTTAACTGAAGCTGTTACCACCACTAAAAATCTCGATACAATGAATTCTCTACCAGAACTAAACTTAACTCTACTCAACCGATTCCTCTGACAGCCTCATTTTTTAAAAAGTGCAAATGATTTGCTACTAGATAACCAGACCTCTGAGTCATTTTTCATATTACTTATTTTTTCATTTATTTTAAAAAGTCAATAACATGGTTATTATAGAAAATTTAAATAATGGCATAAAATACAAACTAATAACTATGCATAATATTGGCAGCCCCACTACAGAAACCATTGACATTCCAATGCTTTGTGTGTTTTTAATCACAAAATTCAGAGTCCTGTTGTGGATACTGTTTTACAGTTTGGTTTTCTTTTCACATAATAACACATTCTAAGCTTTTTCATGGCATCAAATACTATTTTATCATGTGAGTCTTAAAACCATATTTTAGAACATGAGCACATAATTATTGAAATAGACACCTATTATAAGGCATATGGGCTGTTTTCAATATTTTATCATTAGAAATTCTGTGCTTAAGACACATAAATTATCATGGGCATTTGTATTTCTTTAGAATACATTCTTAGGAGTTAAATTGCCAGTGTAAGCGGGGAAGAAAAGACTAGATTGCCCAGTGAAGACTAGACTGCCTCCTACACCACCCAAGTGCCATCGTTATAGCTTCCCTGCCCTCACCAACAAGTTAGGATTATTTTTGAAACATTTCCTAACTAAGCAGTTAGGTCACTTTCTGTCTTTCTTTTATTCAACCAACTGAAACCTTACTGTGTTTCCTTTATTTGTCTTTTGAATATTCTGCTTTTAGTTATCCAGTACTGGTTTATCTGATTACCAATGTGTTGTATGTACACAAAGGTAGGATCTTGTTTCATGCGTCATGGTTTTCTTTCGTTTAGTTTTCTTCATTTTCTTTCTGCATAATATGTGATGGATTTTTCTGATATAAAAGCGTGAGAGATTGCTTTATGATAAAATTGCTAAAAAAATAAAACAAAGTGAGGCTGGAACTTATTACTTTAAGAACATTTACCAATAACTTTCATTCTGGCCCAAAAAATGTTTGAGGAGTTTTGTCAAGGCAGTTAAATTATTCTTGACTAGTTGTAGAAATTTTAAGAATGTATAATTAACCACTGTGAAGGTCCTTCTTATGCTCCAAAAATATGAAAATATAAATGTTAGTAATGTATGTTTCCTGCTACAATTAGGGGTCTTAGCAGTTATTCTGCAGAATTAACTTACTTTATATATTTTATTAACCCTTGGAGAATTTCATACATCATACATTGTACTTTGATCATTTTGCCCCTCCCCCAACTCCTCCCAGATACATCCTCTATTCCATAACCACCCAACTTTGTGTTCTCATTATTTTTTTATTGACTCTGTCCAATTAGTGCTGGCTATATAATCTTGGGTGTGTAGAACATCCATTGGAGTTTATTCCACCTACCAGGACCCATACCCTTAAAGAAAACTAACTCTCCCTCTCTTGAAAGCTATCAATTACCAAGAGTTCCTCAGCTAGGAGTGGGATTTCTTGTCTACCCCCTTACCCTCACCTCTGCTCTATGCTGGGATTTGCCTGGCTTGAGCTTGACCATCTTGGGGAGTGAGCCTTAAATTCGATCAGAAAGTCGTTGGTTATGCCTGTGACATTCATGCCACTTTTCAATGGAGGGCATATTTTTCCAGAGTGTCATTATTATAGCACACATCGTTCACATCTAGATAACATTAGTAATTGCTTTTCTCCTCTAGTAGCATTCTAGCACCTTCCAGTACTATGAACCCTAGTAAGGATGAAACTCCCAAGTCAAATCTATCTTGACTCCTCTATGTTTTATGATTCAGCTATGTGGTATCTTGGGAGTAAAGGATAGAGGAAGGAATATGGGGATGAATAACTCATGTACAGACCTTCTAAAAGAGTCAGATGAAAAACTGCTACTGCAGATGTTTTCTATAATATAAACACATCACACACATACATAGATGTGTGTGTATAAATATGTATATATTTATATGCTTAAATGGAGTTACCCCATAACAGGGCAACAATGCCCCTACCAGACACCATAGGGTAACAACAACAAAAAAGCCCAGTGCTAGGAATGGATTACGGTATTTGGAGCTGTTGGCTAGTAAGGGTAAAATTAACTTATTTACTGTTGGCTTAGAGAAAAATAAAAATTTCAGTGAGTTTCCCCTGCTGAAAACATAAATTCAGAAAAAGTGATTGGGCGCTAGGAAAGGTTACACATTACTTTCAGCACACCTGCCCATCTCCAACAAGGTTGGCCAGAGTTCAGAGTTTTCTGAACATAGTCTGTCTATATCAGCAGTTCTCAACCTTCCTAAATGCTACAACCCTTTAATACAGTTCCTCGTGTTGTGGTGACCTCAATCATAAAACTACTGTAATTTTGCTATTGTTATGAATGATAATGTAAATATTTTTGGAGAGAGAGGTTTGCCAAAAGGGCCCTGAGCTACAGGTTAAGAACCACAGGTCTGTAGGTAGCCGAACAGCAAGTCAGCCCAAGAGAAATCTTCGCACCACTGGACAACACAAATATTACCTTGTGTTTCCTCCAACTCTTCCAGAAACATTCATGTTATTTCTATGATATAACTCTTCCCTGCCATCCTGCATTTTTCTAAGCAATTCACAAAAAAATACATAGCAAGTTGTATATGTTAAATAAATATGGCTGATGTTTAGGTTTAAAAGACAGAATCAATAAAGTAAAAAATAGCCCCACTATTTAAAAACAAACAAAACCCAAGTAAAGCACATTTTGTTAGAAGCCATTAGAAGCAAAAGGAAGCCATAGAAATGGTGACTGGAGTTGTAATAATACTTCATTTGCATATATTAGAAGGCCACAACAAAAATAAAGATAAGATCTCTCTGTTTAAAATTCTCTTGGCTCTGCTATTTCACAGACTGGAGTTTTCTCCCTGGAAGTTGCAACACTTGGATAGTATTTCCCCAGACTTCAGATGGGAGTCTCCCCTGATGGCCTCGTGAACTAAAAAGGAATGGGAACAAAGGAGGACTTCAACTTCACCCGCTTCTACAAGTGTTTGTCTCTTCCTTATCATTCTTTATATTCATGCTAATCGCAAACAATGTTAAAAATTGAAAGTAGAAAAGCAAGAGTGTAATTAATATCCTGTAAAAATATTTTATGTCAGATATGATTATGAAATAACACTCCCTAGTAATCATTTTATAGGCATATCTTACAATTTATGTTATTGTCAATGTGCTGCCTTAAAAACGTACAAGTCATTCTTGGGATTGCCTTTTATCCACTTTAATACTATGCCTACGTATCATCAAAAACTCTTCGTTTTGTGTAAAGTCCCTTTTGAAACAGAAAGGGGCAGTAAAGACTTGAGATGAACGCTGAGATGCAATTGTTGGTCTTAGTTGGAAATGGTCAACTAAGTGAAATGGGAAATCAAAATCATCATAGAGATCATTCAGAGTCGGGAAAGTCACTCACAAGCTCAGATGTGGCCGAGGTTTCCGAGTTCTCATGGGTGGCTGCAGCCCAGATTGCTTCTCCAGTGTGACTGCTAATAGGAAAACTGAACAGGTTGGCCTGTCTCTCTGGAAGTGGAAGCCTGACTCGGGAGCTTCTGCAATGAGAGAAAAAGTGAGGAAGTTTCTCCAAATGCCAGCATATTCTTCAGACAGGGCAAACAGAAGGTGGGCACACTTGTCTACACTATCTAAACCTTGTTTCTCAGGTGTGTAAGGTTTTACAGCAAGTGAACATGTGCTTTTCTCCTGCTGTGGGGCTCTGAGATGATTTTCTACACAGAGTCCAAGTCCCTGGCGTTTTTCACATTGCAACTCACAGTTGCCAGGCTGCAATAGCAAAGCCGACCAAGCAAAGCCTCCTGAATAGAAGCTCCGAGACCCACCACAGACCCTGGCAACACTAATGAACCAGGAGACAGATTCTGCTAGGCCCCAGTGGGCAACAGGGGAGGGAAAACATAAAATCCCACAGTGATGAGACTAGGCTATGGCCATAAAGAATCAACTTCTCTTAGCAGGTGCTGTATATCCCAACATCTGCTGGCCATATAAAACAATGTGGCTGGCAGGTGGTGTGAAGATGTAGAAATACTGTTACTATCAAAGGTTAGATGATAGATAGATAAATAGATAGATAGATAGATAGATAGATAGATAGATAGATAGATGATAGATAATAGATAGATAGATAGATAGATAGATAGATAGATAGATAGATAGATAGATACATGACAGAGTATATATGTATATATGTGTGAATACATGTTGATATATTAAACAAACTTAGTTGTACTTTTTAGGTAAGTGTAGAGTCAAAATAAAAAGTGTTTTCTGTATTTACTCTTAACATAACACCTGGAAGCAGTAAGGTATAATGTTCTAAACAAAAGGCTCTCTTCACTCAGTATTCCCTTTGAAATCAGCGGGAATTGTCTGTCTGGAAGATTCAGCATAGAAGTGAACTGCTCTTACTGATCCAGCCAGTCCTTGAAGGACAGCAATGGCAGAAGCCCACGATTAGTTAGTTGTTCATAACAGCATCACTGCAGCAACTGAGGACCAGGCCTCAAGGTCAGTAGGACCTGGGTTCATATCCCCAGTTGGGTTCTTACCAGGCTCATTAACTTCCCTGAGATTCAGTTTTCCCTCCTTTATAAAATGGGAATAAAACCACCTCCCTCAACAACTGTGATCAAAAGAAGAAATTAATTACAAGTTATTAATTAATTAATTACAAATTAATATTAAAAATAAAATAACAGTAAGGTACATAAAACAGCATCCAAAACAAAACCGACCTCCAATTATTTGATAAATTATGACTGTTATTTCTACCACTACTACTGATTATTTATGCCCAAGTTTATCCAAAAACAGATTCAAAGTGAATGATAAAGATAAACAAAATGTAGAAAAAATAGCACAAATAAACAGCTGATGAGACAGGAAAACTATTTTAACTTGGTAGATCCATCAGATTAAAATTTGTGTTTCTCCCTCATGAAATACTCATCAAATATAGAGCAGCTAAAAGCAAGGGCAGCTTAGCAACAGTGCAGGGGCTCTTGGGAAGACTAAAGCTTCATTTTTATTTCACCTCAGGTCACAGACTCTTGCCCATGCTCCCATGAAAATACCAGTTATCAGGGAAAAGGTTACTATAAACTTTAGTGCCTGGGGCACAAGTGCCAAGAAGGAAAATAATACGACCTCAGTTGACTGTGTCGTAAGAGATCTATACAAACTCCCCATTCACTTTGGATGACAGCCTTTCTGCCCCACCCCTCTACTGATCCTTGTGTTTAGCAGAACGTATAATGCCACCCTGCCATTTAGGGAGAAGTCAAAACATAAGATCCCATCATAAATATCATTTTAGAAAAATTATGCCACACCACCTTCCATGTTAGATCACCAGGGAAAAGAGACATTTTGATATGTAAATTCGCTCGTCTACTTTTGAATATTAATTATGTATCACACTACCTCTCACATAATTATTTTTGCCATAAATTTGGAGTCATTACCTAGGAAACTATAGGATTAGCATTTTAAAGATTTGTTGGAGATAGGAATCCAACCAATAAATATAAACACTCTTGGCCTTCATTCATTCAGACAAAGAATTGGGAAATCATTCCAGACATGGAAAGAAAAATGTCCAGTTAACTATATGTGATTCCCTGAAGCCCTTTGTTGAACAATCTCCTGGACCACTATTAAACCTCAGTGAGAAACAATTAACTCTGTAACCAAATAAAAACAGCTTATGGACGTGAGGAACAAGGAGTAGGGCCAAAAATGGGGACTGATGATGACATTTGCCCTTCCTGCCATCTTCCAAACACCTAGACAGCACATTGCCACACTTCACATCATGCAGTTGCACAGTCGAATGTTAAGCAGGAACATGTTAACCCAGGGCTTGTTCCTAGTCTGCAGACCCTTGGCACACTTGAAAGTGCCACAGTCAGCAAAAACCAATCCAGGTGGAGTCCTGACCAGGTGTTTCAGCCAAAAGAGTCCCTTAAAATCATTCCTGAGCCCAGGAACTCACATGGGAAAGCACCAGAAGCTGAGTGCGGGAGGCAGTTTAAAATGAGAAGGGATTGTTAGAGCATTTCTCAAACATGCTTCCTTTGATAGAGCAAAGAGTGTTACAGAGTGTGTATCTGGTAACTGAAGCAAAAAGGGTTAGAAGTTCAGACTGTCTGGGCAGAATAACCATGAAGCACAGTGTCTCCTGCTCAGCAAACGCGCTGCCGCTGTCATCCACACCAATCTGGTCCAGTCTGACAATGGCTGTGCCTAAAAGTACAGCCAGCCAGGGTCTCTGCTCCTCCTCCAGCTGTATGGCATCTGTATGGCAACCACAGAAACGAGACATGCACTAAGTTCAGCCTTGCAGTCATTAGTTCAGCCTTGCAGTCATTCTCTAAATCCCTGACTCTCACCAAACGCTGGGGGCAAAATCTTTGCCCCTTTTGCTAAAGCACCAAGTGCAGTGTCTCAACAAACATGGGTATTTTCTTTGCAGAAACTGGGTGGGAGTTCGTCAGGCACCCTGGAAGTCTTGAATGAAAATGCAGTCTTGCCTCAAAATAATCACTGCAGTATTTTTTTAAAATTCTTTCTACAAAAACAGCTATAAGATAATTTGAAAAGTTACAGGGGTTAAATATTTTATAATTTCATTGTGTGTAAAATATCCAGAATAAGTAAGTCTGATGAGGTAGAGAGTAAGCAATATGTTAGGGACTTGGAGAAGAGAGAAGTGGGGAGTAACGGAATTATTCAGAGCTAAAAAGAAGTAATAATGACTCCACATCATTGTGATGGTTCTAAATGCCCGTGAATTGTACACTTTAAAATGATTATCTGTGTTTTATGTGACTTATAAATTTTATCTCAATTAAAAGTTTGGTGGAATTTTAATATGAGCTGGGTATTAAATGACTTTGTGGAATTATTAATTTTCTAGGGTGTGACAATAGTATTGCATCAGGAAGGAGAATAACATCTTTTTCACAGTCGAATGCTGAAGTCTTTAGGGATAAAGAATCATCATATCTACACTTTCTTTTTTTTTTTTTTTTTTTTTTTTTGGTTTTTCAAGACAGGGTTTCTCTGTGTAGCTTTGCGCCTTTCCTGGGACTCACTTGGTAGCCCAGGCTGGCCTCGAACTCACAGAGATCCGCCTGGCTCTGCCTCCCGAGTGCTGGGATTAAAGGCGTGCGCCACCACCGCCCAGCTATATCTACACTTTCTAATACTTCAGTAGAAGGACATGTCTGTCTGCAGAGAGTAAAGCAACATGGCAAAAATATTTATGATTGTTGACTCTAAGTGAAAAGTAACAGACTATTCATTGTGCTATTCTTCAATATTTCATAATGTTCAAAATTTGCCAAATATTGGAACAAAACATTTTAATGATCCTCTGAAATCATGAATGAAGTTCAACGTTCTTGACGCCAGGTACTGTACTCACGTTTAGAATACATTAATGAACAAAAAGATGCAATATGACCTGATTACTGCAGCCTGCTGTGGATAGCCATAAATAACCAAGCAGCACAGGCTGGGTGATGCTATGAAGATGCAAGATACCATCAAGGACACCAAGTCTAACATCTACGGGATCTTCCTGAGAGTCCCCAAGAAACCGTAGTCCAGTAAACCCCACTGTGGCCTGGAGGCTGGACTCTCACAAGTGAAAACAGGGAGTAGTGTTTAAAGGAGGCCATGCAGTCTGTAAGGGGCATGGCCACTCAACTTCAGCCTACAGGAAGTCCCTCCAGAACCAGAAAAATCAGAAACCAAGGAGGCCAAGTCGTGAGTCTCAGTTGTCCACAAGCCCAAGTTTACAGCATGCCCCACTCAGTCTTGCCTTTGAAAGTATCTGCCTCTCCTAATGGTGGGAAGAGGAGGTGTGGGCAGCCAAAACTGTATTAGAAAAACAGGAGGCAGTGGAAAAGCTCCAGGGCTGGGTGAGCTACCACAGCCATGACCACCAGCCAGGCGCAGATCAATTTGAGTACTCATGCAGACCAGCGCCTCCCTGCTGAGCATATTTTTCATTTTCTTTCAAATACAAATGGAAGGAGGCACAGGCACAGGGTAGGAATTGCCAGTGTTGTAAAGCCTCAGTCTGTTCCAAGTTGAACTGATTGTCTTCCTAGAACTACTCAAACATAATCACAGGGCAGAAGGATGAGAGGGGTCACCATGGCACTTTGCTCGGTCTGCCCACTGCAGTGCTGACTCGGACTGGAGGATTGAAGATGGTCTTCACATCCACAGAGGAGGAAGACTCAGACTCGGGGAGGAGACTGGGAGGAAGGGAATACTCAGAAAACTTGAAATTAACACTATGACATTGACTTTAAGAAATAAACAAATTAGGCTACACAATTTTTTAGTTACCCTTTCCCCAAGGGTTAGTAGTGGTTCCCACTCATGGATCTAGAGAGAACTGTAGTCTGGGGACAGGTCCAGCACTAGGATTTTAGGTCCAGTATTTGTGATTTCAGGCTGGGAACTCTGAACGATTTTCCACAAGAATCCACGGCAGCCTCTTGTGTCCAGAGAGATG